TTTGATCGATGGTTCCTTTCATGAAGACAGAAAAACAGCATTCGGTTTCACATCAGTCTTTACCTCTTTGCAACAGCCTTCTTCCAGAAACTCTGTGAGTTTTGATAAATGTCGATAGTTGTAGAGGGGTTTCATTCCTTTTGTTCAAAGGCTCGCTGTGAGTCATGCGTGACTCGCTCTTAAAGGTTTGCAGCTGAAACCCAGTGGAGGGGGGACGTCAGGGTCGTGGCCACATGCTTGGCAGTGGGGTGGGTTGAATTGATTGTAGTGAGGGCGTCCTTGGGGCTCAGCGTTGGGGGGTGACACTTAGAGGCGCTCAGCCCCCCAGCAGTTCTGCCGAGACAGGTGGGCAGGGTCCTCCCGGCGCCCCTGAGCCCGCCTCGCGTCCCCACAGATCCTGTGGACCTTCTCCATCTACCTGGAGTCGGTGGCCATCCTGCCGCAGCTGTTCATGGTAAGCAAGACGGGCGAGGCGGAGACCATCACCAGCCACTACCTGTTCGCGCTGGGCGTCTACCGCACGCTGTATCTCTTCAACTGGATCTGGCGCTACCACTTCGAGGGCTTCTTCGACCTCATCGCCATAGTGGCCGGCCTCGTGCAGACCGTCCTGTACTGCGATTTCTTCTACCTCTATATCACCAAAGGTACTGGGACAGGAGGCGCCCCACCTGGCCAGCCCAGCCTCCCCGCCTCCCTCTGCTCCCCCCCAGCTCCCTCTGCCCCCTGTAGGGTTTTGGAGGCGATCAGCCTCTAAGGGAGGGAGCCCTTGTGTCTTTCTCCCTCTGAGCCGCTGATGTCCCAGTTGGCGACAAACCCCAGCCCCAGATCTCCTTCCTGGGATTTGGGGGGTGGGAGACGTGTCTCGGGGCTCCTTTCTGAGAATCCCAGCCGACTCCCTCTTAGAAGTTGAGCCTGCTGGCTCTGTCACTCGGCGGGTAACTGGATGGTTAGCAGTTCGAACCCAGCAGCTGCTCTGTTTGAGAAAGACGAGGCTACCGTAAAGCTTTAGCCCGTGGAAGCCCTAGGACGCAGACCCTGTCATACCTGTTTGTCAGGTCAGCAGGGAGTTGGTCAGGAGGGAGCTGCCGACGTTGGGTGAGGAAGCGGGACTGTGGAGGGACATGGAGGCTTCTGGCAGGATCTGTAAGGTGCACTTGACAAAGCAGGGGGAACCTCAGTTTTGGAGACTGAAGAGTAGACATGAGGCCAACAGAAGGAGCAGCCCCCGGCCCTTCAGGGCAGAGGAGGGGTGATCTTCTCCCGCAGCCCCAGACCCTTGAACCCACCCTGCTCAGTGACCAAGAACTCCCAGGGAACTCCACGGAAGGCGGAAGAAGAGTAGGCAGCACTAGGAGAAGGGGGGCCCCGTCTCAACCTTTGTCCTTGAGGCATTCTGGTCCATCCGTTTGGCACGGATAGTTTACACTCCACTGTGGCCAAAAGCTGGGAGGGTCAGGCTCACCCCGGGTGCTGCGGAAGAAAGGGCTGGCAGTCGGCTTCCCTAAAGATAGTTGTGTGTACCCCTTCAAGCCGGGTCTGTCTCTTGGTCACCCCATGTGACGGAGTGGAACTGCGTTTTAGAGTTTTCCAGACCCTCAATGAGATGGATCGATTCTGTGAGTGGAGCGGTGGGAATGAGTGTGTTTGAGACGGCGAGGTTGGCACAGGATAGAACGGCATTTAGGGCTCTTGTACATAGGGTCGCTAGGAGTCACAAGTGACTCGATGGCACATAACAACAATAATTGTGTGTGTGTGTGTGTGTGTGTGTGTTGTTGTTGTTATGTGCTATTAAGTCATGTGCGACACATAGCGACCCTATGTACAACAGCCCTAAACTCTGCTCTGTCCTGTGCCAACCTCACTGTCTCTGACACTCCCATCCCAATGACCCCAGTCACTAAATCAATCCACCTCCTGCGCTGTCCCACCACCCTGCCAATCATGACGTCCCTCTCCAAGGACTGGTCCATCCTTACAACATGTCCAAAGTATGTCAGATGAAGCCTCAGAATCTTTGCCTCCAAGGAGCAGCTTGGCTTCACCCTCTCCAGGACGAACCTGTTTGTTTTCCTAGCAGTCCATGGTACCCTCAATACTCTTCTCCAGCACCACAGCTCAAAGGCATCAATTCTCCTTCTATCCTCCCCAGTCATTGTCCAGCTCTCTAATGCATAACAAGTGATTGCGAAGACCATGGCCTGTATCAGACGCACCTTAGTCTCCAGAGAAACACCATTGCTCTTCAGTACTTTGGTGAGGTCCCTAACAGCAGACTTGCCCATGGCAATGTGCCTTTTAATTTCCTGGCTGCTGGTGCCAAGAGTGTTGACTGTGGAGCCAAGCAAACTAAAGCTGTGTACAATCTCAATCTCTTCACCATCCATCCTGATGCTGCCAATTGGCCTAGTTGTGAAAATCTTTGTTTTCTTGATATTGAGCCTCAATCCGTATTGAAGGATACACTAGAGAGGGAGAGAGAACAAACTCAAAGTCATTGCTGTTGCGTCAGTACCGACTCGTAGCCACCCTCCAGCAGGCCTTCAGATGCTGTAAATCACACATGAGCAGGTTACCTGTCTTTCTGCCATGGTGCATCTGGTGGATTCGAACTTTGTGCCTTTGGGATTTCAGCACAAGTCCTTACTACTAAGCCACCAGAACCCCATAAATTGATATTATATATACAGGCTGACCCAGAAGGCAGGTTTACAGGTCACTGGCCTGCTTGACCACCTAGAAACGTAGGTATACTTGTCTGATAAAAGGAGATAGTCTTGTGTGGTTATTAAAAAATAAATAAAGGAATAAAATTACATATAGTATAGTGTGTGGTTTGAGTTTACCAGATGCTCTGCTGTAGAAGGAGAAGCAATCTCGGATCCCATTTGATTGCTGCTGTTGTTGCTAAGTGCCGTCGAGTCATAGACGACTCAAAGCGACCCTGTGAACGAAAGACCTGAGCGCTTGTACAACTTGCATCCTTTCTCCAGGTTCATAGGGTTTCCAGAGACAGGCTATTTCAGAAGTGGATGCCACTCCTGCTTCCAAGCTTGTTTTAATTGGGGAGCTCCACCAAACACTGTCCACCATGGGTAACCATTAATGCATTTGACACATCAGTGTCACACAGTTCAGCTTCACAGCAACCACGCGTTACCTCTGTACAACAAATAGACAGACCAGTGCTATACCACATAGAAGAATGTTTGACCAAAACCAATCAAAGCCAGGCCTGAGGGCCGCAAATTAAAATCATCCACCTTTGGCTTGGTAGCATCACTTTCTGTCCACCAGGCCAACAGAGCTCTCTCTCTTTATGACACACAGCAATTCTATAAACAACAAACTTAATAACCCTTGTCCTATCCTACGCCATCCCCACAATCCAAGACATGCTCAGATTCGACAGTTCACAAAAAGAAAAAAAATCACATATAGTATAAGATGCAATTTTATAGTTCTATCCTATTTTAATTTTTCTAGGCTGTAATAATTTAAAAATATATAAATACTATTATATGTGATGTTACATACATAAGCAAATAAATATGTGTTACTTTGCTGTTGAGACAGTGCAAACATGCACGAATTACTCACTTTCTACGTGCACTGTTTAGCTTGTCTCAGCCTCCTTTCCTGAGCTGTTTCTCCCCCTTCACATGAACTCACCGGCTCCTAAGGTTCCCATCCAACCTTTTTAGTTTCTTGTCAATTTGATCTGGTAGATAGATAGATAGATAGATAGATAGATAGATAGATAGATAGATAGATTTCTTTAAAAAGCCTAATAGTCAATGCAGACTTTTGTCCTAGTGAAGCTCAGCTATTACTTGGTTTTAAGGTGACATTATGATGGGAATATTTTTTGTGTCAAGTTTAAAGATTGTCTCAGGGCAGTAGTTTCAGGGGTCCATCCAGCCTCCATCCCTCCAGAAAGCCTGATGTCCGCGTGAATTTGAAACTCTGTTCTGTATTTTCCCCCCCTTTGATCAGGACTCTGCTCTGAAGGCTTTGATCAGAATGTGTATAATGGTAGCCGAGCACCAGCTAGTTCTGGTCTCGTGGCAAAGGCGACAGTTACTCATGGAGGCAGTTAGCCACACATCCCCACTTCCTCCTCCTCTTCCTGACTCTCTTGCTCTAATAGAGACTAGTTTTTTGTGCATGGAGGCAGTAGGCATTTATTTTTTTTTAAAGTTTATTTAATTTTATTCTTTTGTGTGCATGTACCGTCAAATCGGATCTGACTGGTACAGGAGGAGATTGTCCCTCCTTCTCCGGCAGAGCATCTGGTGGATTCGAACCGTACGCTTTTGGGATAGGCATTTAATTTTTTTAAAAATTTATTTTATTATTCTTTGTGTGTGTGTGTGTGTACTGTCAAATCAGATCCAACTGGTACAGAAGGAGATTGTCCCTCCTTCTCCAGCAGAGCATCTGGTGGATTTGAACCGTGTACCTCTGGGATTGCAGTGCAGCGTCATGCCACTAGGCCACCAGAGCTCCCTGCATTTAATTTTTTAAGTAGAACAAACGAGGTTGTAATTTTTTTTAAAATAGCTTTCAGTTTATTACAAATATTTAGTATTGGCTTCCCATATTTCCCCCTTTTGTTTTTATCATAATTATGTTATCATCTAGACGAGCATCTTTTATACACAAATAAAACAAATTAAACATAATAAACTCAAAGAAATACTTTCAAAAATCTCCATATGATCAGAAGGATTCAGGTTGAATATTCCTTGAAAGACTGTTTTAATTGTCCCATTGTCACAGTGCTTGTCAAAAACATTTCTGATTAATCTTCTTTGTCAGTGTATCCTTTGCCATTCCCTATCACTCCTCCCTGAGAGAGACTTCACCCTGATTCATAAGGAAAAGGGGACGGCGGATTCTCTTAGCTACTTCCTGCTGGAAAGGGACGCTATAGGTTTCAGGGGAGGTTGTAATTTTTATGGAAGCAGATCACTAAGTTTTTGTCCAGTGGATCCTCTGGGTGGGCTTGAACCGCCATCCTTCTGGCTCACGGCTGAGAGCTAAATCATCATGCCACCAGTCAGGTGTCCTGTTTCTGTGTCTCCATTGCACTGAATCGCTTCTGACCTGTGTCAGAACCATAGGCTTCTACCCCAAAGAGTTCCCTCACCTGTAATCTTAACAGGAGCTGATTGTTCCGGGGGAGGATTCGAACTGGTAGCCTTTCAGGTCGCCCCGTGGAGCTCAGTGTTCCTGGCACGTGGGGATGACCATGAGTGGAAGTGGACTGAAGAGCTTGTTTTTATTATTCGTTTTATTTTATTATTCATTGCAGGGCCCCGTCTGGGTGTGGGTGGCAGCTGGCCCTGATACAAGACCCCTGATAACACTCACTTCCTTTTCTCTTTTCAGTCCTAAAGGGGAAGAAATTGAGTTTGCCAGCCTAGCCCCGGCCCTGGCGACCCCTCTCCTCGGCAGCGGCGATGGCAGCCAGAGGCGCACGCAGGACGATGATGGGAGACGGGAGCCCCCTGCCCACCCAGGGACGGCTTTTTAAAAGAACCAACCTCTCCCCACTCCCCATCTGCCTTCCTGCCAGGTTTTAGGGGGCAACGGAGGCCCCAGGTCTTGAAGAAAGTCAGGACCTGAGCTGTTTGTAGTTCTTTGCCTTTTGAAGAAGAAGAAGAAGAAAAAAATCTTTTCACTATTTCATTTTTAATTCTGATGACACCTTTCTTCTCTCTGGTTCCTGATTTTTATAAACAGTTTCCATGGTATCTGATGGGATCGGGCAGGGTCGAGGGGGCTTTGTCCCTCCCCCTGCCCCCTGGGCTTCCTTCTAGACTCCACCGCAGCCCCACTGGGTGCCAAACACTAAATCCACTGACACCCCACTTGTTCTCACCCCCAGGGACACGCCCTACTTACCCCGTCTGGGTTGGGGGCTGGGGAGGAGATGGGGGCCTGGGAAACACTCCCCAGCTTTTCCATAGTAATTTGTTTTCCAAAGTTTGGGATTTTTTTGGTCTTATTCTGATTTTTTTTTTATTTTGGGGGGAGGGGGCTGGCCCAAGATCACCACTGCCCTGACGTCACGTTTTTTGTACAGAATTGATGGTTGATTCTTTGTTCTCTTGAAATAAACAGAGGAAAATGAGACCTCTCTTTCAATACGCCTGTGTGCTTGCGTTTGGTGTTTAGAAGGCCTTATGGGTTGATTAGAGCCCTCCCCCCGAAAAAAAAACCCTTTTGTATTGTAATTCCTGACCACCTCGCCTGCAGTGAGTAAACCACGGACTGCAGAGAATGGACGGATCTGCCTGAGAAGTGCAGCCAGAGTGCTCCTTGGATGAGGGGCTGCTGACTCTGGGTCCCTGTAGCTTGAGCATGTTACTGGGAGGATTCAGTCCCTGGAGAAGGAGTGTGTCTCTCTTATCTGGTGCTGCCACAGTGGGTGGCTTCTCCTGAGGTTTAGGAGCCTGGGTGGCTGAATTTGACAGTTGCTCCAGGGGCCAGCTGTCTCTGTCTCCTGGTTCTCATCATCTAAGTGCAGGAACCCGGACTCAGAAGACACACTGTGCTCCAGGCTCCTTTCATGGTGGTTCTGAGGTTCCTTTTCCGCTCCCTACTGTCTCCTTCTCACCCTTCTAAGATAAAAAGTGAAGGCAGGCCACACGCCGTAGGGGAGGAGATTACCATCCTCCTCTGAAGCAGCTGGTGGATTGAACCACACACCTCTGGGATTGTTGTTGTTATGTGCCATCGAGTCGTTTCCGACTCATAGCGACCCTATGCACAACAGCTCTAAACCCTGCTCTATCCTGCGCCAACCGCACCGCCTCTGACACACCCATCCCGATTACCCCAGTCACCGAATCAATCCATCTCATAGAGGGTCTTCCCCTCCTGCGCCGTCCCTCCACCCTCCCAAGCATGATGTCCCTCTCCAAGGACCCGTCCCTCCTGGCAACATGTCCAAAGTATGTCAGACGAAGCCCCAGAATCCTTGCCTCCAAGGAGCAGCTTGGTTTAATCCTCTCCAAGATGAATCTGTTTGTTTTCCTGGCAGTCCAGGGTACATTCAGTACCCTTCTCCAGCACCACAGCTCAAAAGCATCCACTCTCCTTCTGTCCTCCCTAGTCATTGTCCAACTCTCACCTCTGGGATAGGCATTTAATTTTTTTAAAATATTTTTTAAAATTATTATTTGTGTGTGTGTGTACCTTCAAATCGGATTTGACTGGTACAGGAGGAGATTGTTCCTCCTTCTCCAGCAGAACATCTGGTGGATTTGAATTGTACACCTTTGGGACTGCAGTGCAGCTTCTTACCACTAGGCCACCAGAGCTCACTGGCATTTAATTTTTTAAGTAGAACAAACAAGGTTGTAATCTCTATGGAAGCACATCACCAAGTTTTTGTCCAGTGGAGCCTCTGGGTGTGGGCTTGAACCACCATCCTTCTGGCTAACAGCTGACAGCTTAATCATGATGCAACCGGGCATCCTTCTGTTTCTGTATCTCCATTGCTGCTGAGTTGCTTCTGACCCGTGTCAGAACCATAGGCTTCTACCCCAAAGGGTTCCCTCACCTGTAATTTTAACAGGAGCTAATTGTTCTGGTCAGAGATATTTTTTAGGGCTGTTGTACATAGGGTCGCTATGAGTCGCAAACCACTCGATGGCACATAACAGCAACAATTGTTCTGGGGGAGTGGCTAGGTGATTTCGAACTGGTAGCCTTCGAGACTGCAGCACAGCTTCTTGCCTTTAAGCCAACCAGAGCTAGGTGGGATTATCATACCTTAGTCTCTTTAGGAGTTTTGGAGGCTCAATGCTAAGGAGTTGCGCTGCAACCCAGAGGCACAGGGTTTGAATCCACCAGCTGCACCAGGGCAGAATATGGGCACCGTTCTCCTGTGCACTTTGCTGTATCAGAGGACGCGCTGGAGGGTGAGCTATGAGTGGGTTCCCACCCAAACTCACACAACAGTCCCCTTACAGAGGGTGCCCGGGTGCCGTAGTCCATGGGAAGCTGTACCACCGACCCATACAGGGTGCCTCTCTGACAGGTCAAGTCTGCCGGCAGCTGCACAGGAGAAAGATGGCCATTCTTTCCACTCCTGTGTGGTTTGTAGCCTCTGAAACCTGCTGCAAGTTCAGCTTGGAGTCAGTTCCGACCCCAGCCCTGAGCTTGAGCCTGGACGCAGTGTCTAAGGAGGGGCCCTGCTGGCTTTAAAAGCCACTGTCTCTCCTGTGGTTTAAACCCACCAGCTGCTCTGCAGGAGAAAGATGGGCTTTCTCCTCTGGTGCAATTTACAGCCTCAGAAACCCACGAGTCAGAACGGACTCTCGGGCAGTGAGTGAGTGCATCCCCTCGTAACTGCTGACCGTGGCCTCGATCCCATGGCGGCGATGGTGATGCCTTTACGGAACTGCCTCTCTTTAGCCTTCCTAACGCCATTGGTTGAGTTTGTTTCGTGCTGGTGAGTCAGAACTGACCGAGAGCTGACGCTCCTGTGGATTTTCATGGGCAGGACGTCGTGTGGAAGGAGAGACAGCCCATCTCCTGAGCGGCAGCTGGTGGTGTCAAACTGCCAGATAGGACTTAAAGCACACAGGATAGTGACACAGGATAATCACGCCGTCCTGACAGTTGTGGCCACATGTTTTTAGGGGACACAATTCATTCCGTCATGAGCGTTGGCAACAAAAAATGAAGACCCTCGACGAGATAGATGTTCAGGCTGTGAGCTGAGACACAGTAAAGATTGTGAGGCTGACACAGACGGGCAGGGTGTGTGTGTGTGTGTGTGTGTGTGTGTGTGTGTGTGTGTGTGTGTGTGTTGTACGTGGGGCCGTGATGAGTGGCGAACCAGCAGTGAGCCTGTGGTTGTAATCTCATTTGGGAACGGGTTGCCTTTGTTAACAAGATTAGTGTAGGGTGTTTTGAGTTGATCTCTTACAAGATATTAAAGAGGATTAATCAATCAGGGTGCTATGAGTTGCCTGCGATTCGACGGCACTTAACAACAATATCAACATAGAGAGAGATCAGCTGGCCTAGTGGACAGAAAGCAATGCTACCAAGCCAAAGGTGGGTGACTTTTAATCCGCGGCCCTTGGGCCTGTCTTGCATTGTTTTTGTTCAGACATTCCTCTAGGTTATATAGCCCTGGTGTGTCCACTTGCCGTATGGTGGTAACTTGTGGTTGCTGTGAGGCTGAACACTGTGACATTGATGTGTCAAATGTGATAATGGTTGGCTACCCAATGCGGACAGAGAGTGGGGTGGAGCTCCCTGATTTAAACAAACTTGGAAGGAGGAGTGGCATCCACTTCCGTAATAGCTTGCCTCCGGAAACCCTATGAACCTGGAGAGAAGATGAAAGGCACCCAAGCATTGAGGACTCTTCTTCATAGGGTCGCTATGAGTCACCTGCGGTTCGACAGCACTTAACAACAAACAACAATCAATCAGAGATGGTAGAGGTCAAGGGATGTGGGGATCTCCAAGGAGCCTGGAAGCAGACACTGAAGATACCAGGACCCACATGGAAAGCCTTCCCCTGGAGCCTTGAATCCAGTCTTCCAGCCCTCTAATCTGTGAGGAAATTAACTTTTGTTTGTTGCAAGCACCCCCTTGTGGTATGGCTGTTAACAGTAGTGGAGAACTAAGATACGGGGTTTCTTCCTTGGCCCCCTTTCGGCCTAGGCTTTTGCCTCATTAACCATCCCAGGCAACAAAGAGAGCAGGAAATGGGGAGACTGGCTTTCCCAAAGCTAGCCAGCTGTACTCCAGCTCTTCACTGCTCCACCAAGGAAGCAACTGCAAAGAAATCCTTGAAGAGTCTGCTTTTCTCAGTTCAGAACTTTCCTGATTGTAGGGATGACCGAGGAACTTGAAAAGCGTTCAGTGTTAGGATACATCAAGGCCCGTGGGCTTAATAACAGTCATTGTCCTCCTCTGTGCAAACCAGGGAAGAACTCACAAGTACACCAGTTAACCACATGAGATCGAAAGGGCAGCCTTGGCCCAGGGAGAGAGCTCAGAAGGCTGGAAGGGAGAACACAGATGGATGAATGGAAACAAAAGCCACAGGGAGGGAGCAGGAAGAGTGCTGTTCCGGTGTGAAGGGTGCAATTACTGCCATAAAACAAAGCCTGCTTAAATGATGGAGTGGAAAATGAATTGCTTTATAAACTTTCACTCAAAGCCCAATTTCTCTTTAGAAAGGGGGAAAATAGTAATAAAAGAACACTCATGTCGGGGCTTGCAAGCTGGCAGCGATGCCCGGCCCTCCTATTTTCTTTTTCATTTTTGCCTGTTTTTGCATTTTGTTGAACCCCACACTATGATTTTCTTACAGAAAATGCAAGTGGTTGCCAGCTTCTAAAAAAACCAGATTTCCGCCTCGGAATCTGGGTTTCTGGCCGCTCTTGACAAATCAGTCAAGTTGACAATGCCAGGGCCTCATTTATGGGTGGCAGCAGATGGCGGGGGCTGAATAGACGGGACGTGAGCTTTTTACCAGAGTCCCCAGGACTTGGCGACGTGGCTGTCCCCATGTGCTGCAAGGGCTGGCAGTGTTGTTTTCTGGGTTGCTTAGGCTTATTTTTTTTTTCCTGGTAAAGTTGAAAATGGAATGTTTCCACCTCTTTCTCTAGACCTATTTCGCACGTGGCCTGCCCCCTTCACTTGTCTTCACTACCTGGCCTTCGTAACCTCATGGATTCCGACCCCTGACACAGTTCAAGGACACTTCCTGACCTCTGTCTGCTGGCATTCTTCAGGCCCCCTGGGTGCCAGCTCTGGCCAGGAGGCAGCCTCTGTAGCCACCGGCTCGATCCTGACTCCCACGACCTTAAGTGTCAGGGTACAGCTGTGCTCTGTCGGGTTTTCAGGGGCTGGATTTTGGAAGTCAATTGCCAGGCCTTTCTTCCAAGGAGCCTCTGGTTGAATCCGAACAATCAAACTGGTGGTTACAGCACAGTGTGCTGTTTGTCCGCAGCCCCTGGGGTCCACTGGAGGCCGGTAGCTGAAGGTGACTTAGGTCATAGTATGTACAAACGGTAACTGGTGTTTCAGTGGTCAAATTCTCACCTTCTATCTCGAGACCCGGGTTCAAATATCACCCCTGTGCGGTCATCACTTTTCTGTCAGTGGACGTTTATGTGGTTATTTTCATTTATTACAGGGTGGACATTGCTGTTTTCTGGGTGGCTGTATTTTTTGGGGGGGTGGGGTGTTTTTAGTAGAGGTAAGAGTAAAATAGTTTCACATTTCTGTGGAATTTGCTGGAATGCTGGACAGTTTTCTGTACAGACTTCAGACTAAAGAACTAGCAACAAAGGCCTGGCTATCTGCTTCCCAAACCAGCCTGTGGAGATGCTTCACGGCAGTGGTCTGACCTACACAGTGTCGTGGCGACAGCGTAGGGACCAGGCAGCGTTCTCTTCCCTTGTGCCTGGGCCTTCGTGAGTCGGATTCAAATTCCAGCAGCTCTGAGCTTCTGTGCTGGGCTCACTCAGCCCTCAAGAGGGGCCTTTTGGGAGCTCTGGTGGCCTCGTGGCAAGAAGCTGCACTGCAATCCCAGAGTTGCATGGTTCGAATCCACCAGATGCTCTGCTGGAGAAGGAGGGGCAATCTCCTCCTGTACATCAGATCTGATTTGACACATGCACAAAAAAATACTACTACTTTAAAAAAAAAATGAGGGGCCTCCTGTGGACGAGGAGGGAGGACCGGAGGCCTTGAGGGGACGAGGCTGGAGCCACCGCCGTGTGGGTTCTTGAATGCCTTTCTCTCTGCCTTTCTTTCAAGCCAAGGTACATTCTGTTGAGGAGTTGTGCCCAGAAGCCTGATGTGGGAAGGGCTGGAGCAGGGCTGTGGCTAGCTGGAGTCAGGGGGAGGGCACCCGCCGCCTGCCCAGCCCCGGCAGAACTGTCTGAAAATCACCCACGGAAACTCCGAAGACTACAGCCCTGTGATACCCTTGAACCTGGAACAGAACTTATCCCTCTGGTTCAGTTTGCTGCCCAACAGCAGATGTTGTTGTTGTTAAAAGCCATCGAGTCATAGACGACGCATAGCAACGCTATGAACAAAAGACCTGGACACTTGTATAACTTTCATCATTTCTCTAAGTTCATAGGGTTTCCGGAGGCAAGCTATTTCAGAAGTGGATGCCACTCCTGCTTCCAAGCTTGATTTAATTGGGGAGCTCCACCAAACACTGTCCACCATGGGTAACCACGATCGCATGTGATACATCAGTGTCACAGTGTTGAGCATCCCAGCAACCATGAGTTACTTCTGTACAGCAAATGGACAGACAAGTGCTGTACCACTTAGAAGAATGTTTGACCAAAAAAACTCCACAAGTAAACCAGGCCTGAGGGCCACAGATTAAAATCACCCACCTTTGGTTTGGTAGCATAGCTTTCTGTCCACTAGGCCAACAGAGCTCTTTCTATGTTGTTGTTGTTGTTATTGTTGTTAAGTGCCGTTGAGTCGTAGATGACTCATAGTGACCGTATGAACGAAAGACCTAACACTTATATAACTTTGGTCATTTCTCCATGTTCATAGGGTTTCTGAAGGCAAGTCAGTTCAGAAGTGGATGGCACTCCTGCTTCCAAGCTTGATTTAATCAGAGAGCTGCACCAAACACTGTCCATGGATTCCAGCACATGCTGCTGACCCAGAGGGATTTTAACTAGGAGGCTTTATCACCTTGCCTCACTTCCCTTCCTTAATAACAGATGTTCTTGTTGTTAAGTGCCATCGAGTCGTAGGCAACTCATAGCAACCCTATGAATGAAAGTCCTAGACACTTGTGTGACTTTCACCCTCTCTCTAGATTCACAGGGTTTCCAGAGGCAAAGCTATTATGGAAGTGGATGCCACTCCTGCTTCCAAGCTTGATTTAATCGGGGAGCTCCACCAAACACTGTCCACCGTGGGTAACCTTTACCACATTTGACACATCAGTGTCACAGTGTTCAGCTTCACAGCAACCGTAAGTTACCGCTGTACGGCAAGTGGACACACCAGGGCTATACGACCTAGAAGAATGTTTGACCAACAATTTAAAACAAACCTTAGGGCTGCAGATTAGAGTAACCCACCTTCTGCTTAAAAAGAACAATAACACCAGGGAGGCATTCCCTCCTCCCAGCAGTCGCCACAGATGATCCAAAGGGCAGATCCCAGAACCAGTGTGGGAATCCCAGCCCCTTCCCTCATGGGTGGCATTTGTCCTGCTAAGGAGGCCACAGTGTGTGTGGTGAGGCTTGAAACCAACCACTGTCTTCAAGTGTACCCCAATCCATGGTGACCTTCTATCTGAGTTCCAATCTTGATGAGACCTGCTATCTTTCTTCTGAGGAGCTCCTGGTGGGTTTGAACTGCCAGCTTTGGGATGAGTCGCTGGGCACGGCTGGAAGAGCTCCGGTCCCATGGTGCGTTTCAGGTTACGTCCACCAGTGGCCCCTGGGGACATGGGGTGTGTCCTCCCCCAAAGATCCAGGCCTCAGTGAGCAGAATCCACTGGACTCAGTGAATCCACTGGACAGCCGTGGGTTTGAGGCTGGAGACCCTGCTGCACGAGGTCTAGGAGCTCTGCTGCCAACCCAAAGCCTGGTGGTTCAAATCCACCGAGAGGCTCCTCACAAGAAAGGCCGGGCCATCAACTTCTGAAAACTCAGCGGCCCTCTCTGCGCACCCCGGGGGTCACTGCCCTCACCACGCCTGGCCTGGCTGGGACGGTGACGCAGGGCCTGTGGCAATGAGCTCGAACAGGCACAGATGTGAGGACGGGACAGGGGGTTCGGAACCGCCCTTGGCCGGTCGCTGAGTCGGAGCTCACCTCACACTGGTGGTGCTGTGGTTAAAGTGCTCGGCTGTTAAAACCAAAGCAGCTGAAACCAGGAGCCGCACAGCAGGAAGAGGCCTCCAGAAAGGTCCACACACACAGAACAGACCGGGCCGGGCCGGGTTTCAGATTCTGCTGGGAGCAAACTCTTGGTGCCCCGACTCCGCCATGCCCGGCGGGAACAACTGAGTGAAGGCCACACACCACCCCGCCCCCGTGCCGTCCCCACCACTGCTTCAGTGGGTCCTTTGCCCATTGGGGTGACCAGTGAGAGCCCCTGTGAGCGGCAGGTCTGTTAGAATGAAACCACCCGCACCATCCCCGGACGTCTTCCCTGAACCCCCGCTCTGGGCTCCTATGCCGTCCCCTCCACATCTCTTTCCTGGGGGGCTGGGACAGCCTGGGCGCTGGCTCTGGTGATGGGATGGTGATGGTCCCACTGGCCTCGGTTGTCACTGTCCACCCAGCTGGAAGCCAGGCATCCTCTACGGGTCGGTGAAGGAGCCCTGGTGGCGCAGGGGTCTAAGCCAGGCCTGTCTGGTCTCACGGGGTGGGGGGAGTGGGCTCAACCCAGGGAACCCCACTTTCCCCACAGCCCTGAGGGTTTCCTGATCACTCACTAGTTTTTGGCAGAGAAGGCGGAGCGGCTTAGGCTTGGGGGTCCCAGTTCCTCATCCTGTTCAGGTGCCCAGAGAAAAGCAGCGAACGCCGAGGGCCCCACAGTGGTCTGGGCTCAGAGGGGGCTTGACCGCTAGTATTCTGGAGGTCTGGTGGCACCGTGGGTGAGACGCTGGGAAGCCACGCGGCAGCCCGCTTGTGAGGACGCCCTGCGGGGCGCTGCTGTCCCACAGGGGGGCTGTGGCTCTGGAAGGCTTGATGGCCGTGACTTGTTTTTTCACCAGGCAGTGGGGACCCCTGAGGGGTGCATGGCTACTAATTAATTAAGCACTAGCTGCCGGTTCTGACCCCCCCCCAGAGGCCCCGCAGGAGATGGGCTCTGCTCCTGGGTGGCCACAGCCCCAAGGGCTCTGTAGAGGCCTCCACTCTGCATCCGTGGGCTCCTTGGTCCCCTCCGCTGGCCAATGAGAGGGTTTTCCTGGCCGCCACCGCCAGTCTCGTGCCAGCGAGGTGGCATGGGACAAAGCGCCCAGGAGGTGACATGGGAAGGGGACCCACGGTGGAGAGCCCTGGGGGCACAGTGGTTAAGTGCTCGTCTGCTGACAGCGGGTCAGAAGTTCAAACCGCCCAGCTGCTCTAAGATGGAAACCCAGGGGGTTCCGCTCTGTCCTACAGGGAGCTGGAATCCACAGCAGTGAGTTTGGCTTGGGTGGTGGAGGGCTGAGGGGTGACTGTGCAGGGTCCCTCCTGCCCCCACCACGCAGAGAGCAGAGGATGGGACGCAGGACGGAGGCTGGCAGCGGTGTCTTTACTCAGTTGTCGGGCATCATGGCGAGGCGGGGGGCCTTTGGCGTGCTCAGGTAGGGGGACAGGGCAGAGCTGGTGTAGTTGGGGCTGAGGGCAGAGGAAGCAGCTGGGCTGGCGGCTGAAGGCGGGGAGAGGGTGGTCAGCACCACGGCCCCCTCGTCCAGGGAGCGCTTGTAGGGGACGGGGTTGTCCTCTCGGAGATCCTGGAAGGCCAAGTAGGCCTGGAACATCTGTGGGCAGAAGAGGGTGACCGGAGCCTCATGTGGGCTGGGGGTAGGGGGACAGAGAGGAGGGGTACAAGGGTGGGCAGGGAGGAGTGGGA